TATCAATGTATACTTAACACTTTGTACTTTAGAATATATCATATTCTGTTTTTATCAAATGACTTTCATATATACAGTTTCATTTTATTGGCCCAAATGTTTGAAAATGTAATTATTTGAATTAATGCATTAATTGTTTTTAATGTGTTATTGCAGAATGTTTTCCAATAGAATTTTTATTTTTAAGCTATACGGTTTTTATAAGGGACATTTCCCCCGCTTTTGCTTTGTTAAAGACTATAGTCATGTAAATTAAATACATAGCACTTCTATTTTGATGTTCTTACCATGTGTCTTCTCACAAAAACAAACCGCTTTTTTTTCTCATTCCCTTTGATAATGTAACCAATCAACACATATTTTTATAGATCCGCCTACAAACAAGGCACTGTGTTAGATTTTTCCATGTGTTTCTGCACATTTCCACATTCTTCCTTCTTGTAGAATGGTAGGGGTAGAACCAATTGGTAAATAGCCAGGTAGAGTATTAAATTCTGCCAGTAGTGAGAGGATGTCTTCCCTGACTAGGCAAAGGTATATTAACCTATGAGGTAGATTTTGTTTCCATTTTATAAAACTTATAAATTGAAGGTCAGTGAAATTAAATAATGTGAAAACACTTAGCTAACTAAAGAATAAAGTTTTAAAGTGTATGATTGGCTCTAAAGCTACCTCTTATGGTTATAAATAGTGTTATTACGATAGAAAAAATAACTTTCTGCTTATGTGAAAGAAAAAAGAAAAATAATTTTCATTTGAAAGATAGTTTATATAAAGGTATTTTTAAGATACTTAAGATGCTTTTAATTTTTATATAAAGAATACAGCTTTGTACAAAAGGTATAATCATATGCAAAGCTGAAAAGAGTTAATATTTTACTTGAGCAGAATAGTTTTATTTTAAAAGCCTGTTGAAGGTTAAGACATTCTGTAGTCAACCTCTACCTCATTGAACTTGCCTAGATTCCCTTTCATTTAAGTTTAATCAACATAAATAATAGGTGTGCTATATAAAGTTTATTTATGTAAAGAGCTGGGCATGATTGCTCACGCCTGTAATTGCAGACACTTGGGGGTCTGAAGCAGAAGGATCACTTGAAGCTAGGAGTTCAAGACAGCAAGGGCAACATAGCAAGAACCTGTCTCAAAGATACAAAACAACAACAACAGCAACTACTTAGCCAGGTGTTGTGGCATGTGCCTATAGTCCCAGCTACTTAGGAGGCTAAGTAGGGAGGATTGCTTGGGCCCAGGAATTGGGGAGCCATGATCATGCCACTGTACTGTAGCCTTGGCAACAGAGTGAGACCTTACTAGGTATATTCATGTAGATACTCATATAAAGAAAGAAGAACTCATTGTTCAGTGTTCTCAGGTTGTAGTCTACTTTATACTTTAGTCAGAAAATGTTACCATGCTAGGAAGAATTACTTTACAACCAAAGACCTTGGTAGCCTAGAACACAGAGCTGTGGTCAATTTTATGTGTTTTCATTCTAGACCAGTACTTTTGAAGGTACTCAGCTAAATGAAGAAATTTTAAAAATTTCTCTAGTAGAAGATGTCCAAATAATAATAATTTTTTTTACTTTTTTTTTTTTTTTTTGAGACGGAGTTTCACTCATGTTACCCAGGTTGGAGTGCAATGGCGCGATCTCGGCTCACCGCAACCTCCGCCTCCTGGGTTCAGGCAATTCTCCTGCCTCAGCCTCCTGAGTAGCTGGGATTACAGGCACGCACCACCATGCCCAGCTAATTTTTTGTAGTTTTAGTAGAGACGGGGTTTCACCATGTTGACCAGGATGGTCTCGATCTCTTGACCTCGTGATCCACCCACCTCGGCCTCCCAAAGTGCTGGGATTACAGGCTTGAGCCACCGCACCTGGCCAATTTTTTTTACTTTTTAAACAAATATATTTTCACATTTCCCAGTAAAATTGAATGCCTAAAAATAGATTATTATGGGAATTTATATCATTTTAAAAACTAAAAAATCTGCCTTTATTCTATAAATCAATTGAATCTTTTCTGTGGAAAAAATACAAATGGACATTTTCCCCTTCTAATTTCTCCTAAAGTAGGGCAACAGTGTTTTTTCCATGATCTTTTTAACCCCTGGAGTTAGAGCAATTTATTAACTTTATTCAAGAATCAATTACAAGTAAGTTACAGGTATGCCCAAATATGTCAGTATGCATCTTTAAGAATAGATACATTCTCCTATAAACTACAGTGTAGTTATCAGCCTCAAAAAATTTAACCTTGGCATATTAATATAATTTAATACACAGCCCTTATCCATATATCCCCACCTTCCCCAAAATGTCCTTCGTTGTTGCTTTTTATTTTTTATACATAGAGAGAGAGACGGGGTTTCACCATGTTAACCAGGATGGTCTCGATCTCTTGACCTCGCGATCCACCCGCCTCGGCCTCCCGAAGTGCTAGGATTACAGGCTTGAGTCACCGCACCCAGCCCTTTGTTGCTTTTTTGAAAAATCAAGGATCTAGTCAAGTATCACTCATTGCATTTAGTTGTCATATGCCTTAAACATTTAGCATTGCAGAGTTCTTCATTTTTTAAGATTTTTTTTTTCATGACTTGGCATTTTTGAAGACCCCAGGCCAGTTATTCTGCAGAATGACACCAATTTGAAGTTGTCAAATCAGTCCTAGTGATCAGTTCAGGCTAAATATCATCGGTGATAACACTGCATAGGTGATGGATCCTCATGGGATCATATCAGAAGATACATGACAGTTTGTCCCATTATTGGTGAGATTAAGTTTGATCACTTGGTGACATTCCCCTACTCCTGCTATTTCTCTTATGCAAATATACTGTTTCCATTTGTAATTAATAAGCAATGTATGGGATAATACCTTGAGACTATAAGACTTCTGTTTCCCAACCTTCTTTCATTTGTGATTGAATGACAGTTCTTCCCTAAATAAATTATTATAAAGGAACTTGCAAAATTATGTTTTAATTCTGACATTACCTGACAATACTTCTCTATTCACTAGCATTATTATGGAAAAAAAAAAAAAAAAGAGTCTTCTTGGCCAGGCACAGTGGCTCATGCCTGTAATGCCATCATTTTGGGAGGCTGAGGTGGGCGGATCACAAGGTCGGGAGTTCAAGACCAGCCTGACTAACATGGTGAAACCCCGTCTCTACTAAAAATACAAAAATTAGCTGGGCTAATTACAGGCATGTGCCGGTAAACCCAGCTAGTCAGGAGGCTGAGGCAAGAGAATAGCTTGAACTCAGGAGGTAGAGGTTGTAGTGAGTCAGGATTGTGCCACTGCACTCCACCCTGGGCAACAGAGTGAAACTCTATCTCAAAAAAAAAGAAAGAAAAGGTTTCTTTTCTAAGAGAAGTATCTCTATGGATTTACAGATATTTTATTTTTTAAAATTGGAAAGAGCCTATCCTTTATGGTCATAATTTTTGATGCATATATTATTCCAAATTTGGCCACTGTGACCCCTTTCATGGTGGCTTTTATGTCCTTTTGACCCATCCCCCTTAATTTTTTAGTACTTTCCTAACTTCTGGCATAAGATATTTCAGAATAATCTCATGCTTTAATTGGCATCATCTTGGAATTAGCCCTTACACTAAGAATTTCTGGTTCCTTTTAGTGAGGAATAATATTTAGAAACCAAGATCTGAGAAATAGACATGTTTTTTGTTAGTTGGGTGTCATTGCTTCTATTCCTTTTTAGTAGAAAATGCCAGGACTTTTTTTTTTTTTATCATGAATTCAGGTCATGATTTAGTAGGCAGTGCTAGAGGTTGTTTTTTTGTTTTTGTTTTTTGTTTGTTTTAATCATGAGTTCAGGCCAAGAATAGACATGCCATCATGAAGCAGGTGAACAAAACCAGAGGACTTATGTTTCCAGATATGAAGACCTGTCATAACATATAGTACTTTAGACAGACAGTCTGACCAATGCAGCAGAATGGAGAATGAGAAATGAACAACATTCAGTCATCTGATTCATTACAGAGGTAACATGTACAATGGGGAAAGGATGTTCTTTTTAAATAAATGGTTCTGGATTAGTTGGATGTCCTGTGGAAAGAAATTCATCTGGATTGAACTCATATCATACACACAGAATCCAGCTGTCAAAGATAAAATAGTAGAGTTTTCAGGGGAAAAACATCTACATAATCTTAAAGTGCACAAAATTTTTTTTCATAGGACACAAATAACACTACTCATAAAAGAAAAAATCTGATAGATTGCACTGTATTTACGTTAAGAACTCTGGTGTACCAAAAGACATCATTGAGAGAGAAAACTCACCCAGTAAGAAGAGGTAAATCTCAACACATATATTGACAGTAGACTCTTCTTCAGAATATAGAAGGACTTCTACAAGCCAGTATAATCCATGGATAGAGCTTTGACAGATACAGATACTTAACAAAAGAGGATATCCAAATGATATATAGGAGTAAAGATGTGTATTCATTAGTCACCAGAGCAGTGCACATGCAGTACCTCGAGAATGACTAAAATGAAAAAGAAAATGCCAAGTTTGTCAAGGATTTAGAGCAATTGGTGGGTATGTAAACTGGTATAACCATTTTAGAAACATATTAAGTATAATTCCACCCTGGGTGTCAGAATTACACTTCTGATTTACAATCAACAAAAATGCCTGTATATGTTCATCAAAAGATGATGTTTTAGCCAGGCATGGTGGCTCATGCCTGTAATCCCAGTACTTTTGGAGGCCAAGGTGGGAGGATCACTTGAACCCAGAAGTTCAAAACCAGCCTGGGTAACATAGGGAGACCATGTTACATCTCTACAAAAAAACAAACAAACAAACAAAAACACTTTTTTTCATTTTTTAATACCAGGCATGGTAACACATGGCCTGTGGTCCCAGCTACTCGAGAGGCTGATGCTAGAGGATCACTTGAGCCTGTGATATCGAGACTGCAGTGAGCCATCATCACATCACTGTACTCCAGCCCAGGCAACAGAACGAGACCTTGTTTCCTTCTCTCCCTCCCCAAAAAGATGATAGGTTTTTTTTTTTTTTAACTATATGACATTACCATGTTTTGTGGGTACCATTAGCAATTCTATATGGTTCATTCTACTAGACTGTTCATAGCAGCACTATTTTTTGTAGAGAAAGACTGGAAACTTCCCAAATGGTCATCTGCAGTAGCATGGTTAAATACTGTAGTACTTCACCGGTGGAATATAGCGAACTACAACTACTTGCAAGAAAATGCATGAATCTTATGAAAATAAGATTGGACAAAGGCAGGTACATACTATATGATTCCATTTTTTTGTGATATAGTATATCACAAAAGAGTACATACTATATGATTCCATTTTCACAAAGTATGAAAACAGGCTGAACTACTACTCTGTGGTGTTAGAAATCAGGATAGTGGTTACCCTTATCAGGAGGAAGTGACTAGAGGGTAAGCACAAGGCAGGAGCTTTTAGAATGCAGGAAATGTTTGCTTTCCTGATGCTAGTTGTGTGGATGTGGTCAGTTTTACAAATTCAGTGAATCGTATAATTATGACATGTACCTTTCTGCATGTATATTACACTAACATAAAAAGGTAAAAAGAAAAATCCTAAATCTAATTTAAGTTTCAATTTAACACCATAGGCTTTTTCTTCTGCTTCCCTCAGTTCTTGTTTGTATATATTTTGACCTGTAGTGAAAAATCTTGATACCCCAAAACACCAACATATTTATTCATTTGCTCAATCCTACAGTATATAAAATCATTTCAGAGTTACAACACCAACAATTTTACTATTACTAACAAATCTATTAAGGTCAAGGTTTCTTTTCAGTTCTTTTTGTTCTTAAACTGTATCTCATTGAGGGTATACAATCAAGACTGCATTCAAAAGCTGCTTTCTTTCATTTCATACTAGTTTTTAAAAATATTTTTATATCTTTTTGATAGATTTTCTTGGGAACCTATTGGAAATAAGTCAGATATGACCATTTAAAGAGACTAAAGAAGTGATTCAATTTCTCATGTAAGGAAAATAATTTGTAGGGAGATCAAGTCATTGCAGCCTAGACTATTATTATCTTCAACACATTTTCTAATATTATAGCATTATCCTATCAATTAATATTATATAGAAGCCCCAGCTATGTTTGCTGTTGATTAATATTGCATACTGAAAGATCAAGGCCACATGAAAGCCATTTTTCCAAATAGTTCACATGTATGTGTATTGCACTTTAAAAAAAAAAAAAAAAAAAAAAATTTTGGCCAGGCATGGTGGCTCACGCCTGTAATCCCAGCATTTTGGGAGGCCAAGGCAGGCATATCACCTGAGGTCAGGAGTTCAAAACCAGCCTGGCCAACATGGTGGAACACTGTCTCTACCAAAAATACAAAAAATTAGCCAGGCATGGTGGCAGGTGCCTAATCCCTGCTACTTCGGAGGCTGAGACAGGAGAATCACTTGAACCCAAGAGGCAGAGGATGCAGTGAGTCAAGATCATGCCATTACACCCTAGCCTGGGCAAAAAGAGCGAAACTCCGTCTTAAAAAAAAAAAAAATTATTTTTTGTATTTATGTTCACTAGAAAACACAAATATTAGGAGAAATGGAATGAGTACCTTTTCTGATACATAATACTTGTACATATTTATGGGGGTGATGTGATATTTTGTTACATGTAAAGAATGTGCAGTTACCAAGTCTGGGTATTTAGGATATCCATCACCTTGAGCGTTTATCATTTCTATATGTTGGGAACATTTCACATCCTCTCTTCTATTTTGTAATATATAATACATTCTTGTTAACTAAGTCACCCTATTCTGCTGTTGAACATTAGAACTTAATTCCTTCTATCTACCTGTATGTTTATACCATTAACCAATCTCTCTTCATCTCCAGCACCCGCCTTGCACCCCTATACTCTTCTCAGCCTCAGAACTATCATTCTCTTACTTTATATCCCTGTCTCCTTAAGATCAACTTTTTTAGCTTCCACATATGAGTGAGAATGTGCAGTATTTGTCTTTCTGTGTCTGGTTTATTTCACTTAACATAATGACCTCTAGTTCCATCCATATTGCTTTAAATGAAAGAATTTTATTCTTTTTTAATGGTTGAATAGTATTCCATTGTGTATTTGCGTATGTGTGCGTGGGGTGGGGGTGGGTGTATGTATATACACTACATTTTCTTCATTCACCTGATGGACACTTAAGTTGGATCCGTATCTTAGCTATTGTGATTAGTGCTGCCATAAACATGGGCGAGCAAGTATCCCTTTTGATACACTAGTTTCCTTTACTTTGGCATTTGTTTTTATTGGTGGCTTCACATCTGCCGGCACTGCACTTGGTGCTTTTTGCATTATCCCACTTAATCCTCATCAGCAATCTTGCAAGATGGATAAGAATTATCTTTTATGTTTTACAAATAAAGAACTAATAGGAACTGAAGCTTTTAGAGATTTGGAAGCTCAAAGTTACTTGACCGGAAGTGGCAGACTGGGATTTGTCTGAACCCAGATCATTATTTTTTAAATTTTTTTATTATACTTTAAGTTCTGGGGTACATGTGCAGATATTGCAGGATTGTTACATAGGTATACACATGCCATGGTAGTTTGCTGCCTCCATATCCCTATCACCTACATTAGGCATTTCTCCCAATGTTATCCCTCCCCACCCCCTGCTGCCCCTCCCCTAGCCCTGCAGCCCCCAGCAGACCCCAGTGTGTAATGTTCCTCTCCGTGCCCATGTGTTCTCATTATTCAGCGCCCACCTATGAGTGAGAACATGCAGTGTTTGATTTTTTATTCTTGTGTCAGTTTGCTGAGAATGGTGGTTTCCAGGCTCATCCATGTCCCTGCAAAGGACATGAACTCAACCTATTTATGGCTGCATAGTATTCCATGGTATATATGTGACACATTTTCTTTATCCATTCTATCATTGATGGGCATTTGGGTTGGTTCCAGGTCTTTGCTATTGTAAACAGTGTCACAGTGAACATACGTGTGCATGTGTTTTTATAATAGAACGATTAATAATCCTTTGAGTATATACCCAGTAATGGGATTGCTAGGTCAAATGGTGTTTCTATTTCTAGATCCTTGAGGAATCGCCACGCTGTATTCCATAACGATTGAACTAATTTACACTCCCATCAACAGTGTAAAAGCATTCCTATTTCTGTGTATCCTCTCTAGCACCTGTTGTCTCCAGATTTTTTGATGATCACCATTCTAACAGGTGTGAGATGATATCTCAATGTGGTTTTGATTTGCATTTCTCTAATGACTAGTGATGATGAGCATTTTTTCATATGTTTGTTGGCCACATAAATGTCTTCTTTTGAAAAGTGTCTGTTCATATCCTTCCTTCTCCCACTTTTTGATGGGGTTGTTTTTTTTCTTGCAAATTTGTTTTAGTTCTTTGTAGATTCTGGATATTAGCCCTTTATCAGATGGATAGCTTGCAAAAATTTTTTCCCATTCTGTTGGTTGCTATGAACCCAGATCTTTATGATACCAAAGCCGATGCTCAATTATGAGCATTCTTGCTTTCTTAAAGTAAAATAGTTATTGAGGTTTAGGGTTGACTCTGCAGATAAAAGAAGAAAAAAGAAAAGCTGAAGCCAATTAAAAAAAAAACAAAAAAAAACTACCTGGTGTTTCTAATCACATCCTCCTTTCTTTTCAGGTTTTATATTTAAGATTTTAGCCCTGTTTTCCAGGCCAAAAAGGGTCAGATGGTTGCTGCTGTCTTGGCTCCTAGAAACATAAGTTTCCATGATGAATCTTTTCTCCTAATGCTTAGTTTCCTATCAGATGGGGTTGTCTCTAGTATTAGTAAGATGTAAGTTTAGATAGTTCAATTGCTTGATGTATTGCTGCAAAGTTTAGTCCTCATAGCTAATTGCACATAGGTCATGTGGTGCATAGAAGGGTGCTCTGAGATGTGACTTTCGATCTGTTCTTTTCTCATCTTTGCTGCTGTGGGGAATTGGAATAGACTGCTAATTGATCTGTTCCTTTGTAGTCTGATGTTCCTCTATGCCCCATAGATGCTGAGTGATCTTTCTGATGCGTGTATTTGGGCATACCACTCTTGTCTGCAGTTCTTCAGTGACACCAATTTGCCTTTAGGATAAAGACGAAGCACCCTACAGACTGTGTGTCCTGTGATGTCCTGGACTTTGCCTAGCCGCCTTTGCCTTCTGTACCCTGTGCCTCAGCCCTGCTGCACTACTCACTCTTTGTCATACATTTTTCTCTCTTGGGACTTGGTATTTTTGTACATATTGTTCTCTCTGCCTTCTTGTCCATGTTCTCACTGTCCTCCCTTTTCCCCATCTCATCCCTACAATCTTGTTCATGTGACACCATCCTCAAACACTCCTACTTTCTCTCTGTTCATCCAACTAGATGATTCACAGGAAATAGTTATTAGTTTGTCATTCTGAGCCATAAAATGGTTAATAGCCTTTGCCTTCAGTGGTAAACCTGAATTTGTGATTACTGTTATGTGTTATCTTTTCAATTCCGGTATACTTTGTTCTGTAAAACATTTAGCATTCCCTGGCTTTCAGATACTGTTTTGTAATTTAACCCTTTTTCGACGTTTCACTTGAAATGACAAGAGGTCATTTGTGCAGAGAGCCATGTGTTTCTAATTCTCCTTCCCCATAGTTGAAAGTAAGAAGTAGAACGTAATGATTTGAAAGAAGAAATTACAATAATACTTGCATTCTATGCACAATAGAGCAGCCACTTCCAAATGTGCATGTCAGTTTTATTGTTTAAAAATTAAGAAGAATGGGAGAACATATTTCTAATTACAGAAATTAATGGATACCTTGTGTGTGGAGGAGGGAGGTTTTTTTTTGTTTTTTTTTTTTCTCCCCAACATCTTATTTTGAAAAAATTCAACCATAGAGAGGAGCTGAAAGAATTTTACAGGACATATCCGTATAATAAACACCTAGATTCTATAATTAACTTTTTATACTTGATTTATTACATATGTATTTTGCTATCCACTTATCAGTCCATCAAAATGTTTAATACACTTCAAAAAAGAATGACAACATCAGTACACTAAACAATTCAGAGTGAAAACATCCTTGTGTAAAGTACAATAGTGGTTTACATGTTTGTCATTGTTTAAGTTCCAAGATACATATGCTGGATGTGTACGTTTGTTACATAGGTAAATGTGTGCCATGGTGGTCTGCCGTACCTATCAACGCATCACCTAGGTGTTAAGTCCAGCATGCATTAGCTATTGTTCCTGATGCTCTCCTGCCTCCTGCCCCGACCCCTGGGCCGGGCCCCAGTATGTGTTGTTCCCCTTCCTGTATCCATGTGTTCTATTGTTCAGCTCCCACTTTATAAGTGAAAACATGTGGTGTTTGGTTTTCTGTTCCTGCATTAGTTTGCTGAGGATCACAGCTTCCAGCTGCATCCAGGTCCCTGCAAAGGACATGATCTTGTTCCTTTTTATGGCTCCATAGTATTCCATTGTGTATATGTACTACATTTTCTTTATCCATTCTATAATTGATGGGCATTTGGGTTGATTCCACGTCTTTACTATTGTGAACAGTGCTGCAGTGTACATACATGTACATGTATCTTTATGATAGAATGATTTATATTCCTTTGGGTATATACTCAAAATGGGATTGCTGGGTCAAATGCTATTTATGCTTTTAGATCTTTGAGGAACCACCACACTGTCTTCCACAGTGGTCGAACTAGTTTACATTCCTACTGACACTGTAAAAGAGTTCCTATTTCTCCTCAGCCTCACCAGCGTCTGTTGTTTCTTGACTTTTTAATAATTATTCTGACTGGCATGAGATGGTTTCTCATTGTGGTTTTGATTTGCATTTCTCTAATGATCAGTGATATTGAGCTTTTTTCCAGGTGCTTGTTGGCTGCATTAATGTCTTCTTTTGAGAAATGTCTATTCATATCCTGTCCTTTGCCTACTTTTTAATGAGGTTGTTTGTTCCTTGTAAATTTGTTTAAGTTTGTTGTAGACTCTGGATATTAGACCTTTGTCAGATGGATAGATTGCAAAACTTTTCTCCCATTCTGTAGGTTGTCTATTCACTCTGATGGTAGTTTATTTTGCTCTTTAATTTATTTAGATCCCATTTGTCAATTTTTGCTCTTGTTGGAATTGCTTTTCATGTTTGCGTCATGAAATCTTTGCCCCTGCCTATGTCCTGAATGTTATTGCCTAGATTTTC